CATTTGTATTGTTGCAGATTGCAGAATGAGAGACACATAAAGCCTAGCGCATTTCACACAGGCTGCTAGTTTCACTTTCAAATTGTGTATGCTTGATGGTTAAAATAAATGTGATTTAATGCCCCTATAATTTTTGTTTGTTTTATATTTACGATTTAGTAGGGATGCACCGAATGTTCGGCAACCGAAATTATTCGGCCGAAAATAGCAAAAAAAGCTCTTTCGGTGTTCGGCCGAATAAGGGAAAAGACCGAATAAATTGTACCGAACAATGACGTGACGCGATCAAATAGAGGCGCGCGCTAATGCAGCAAACATGACGGCAGTGTGGAAACATTTAAAGCTGTCTGAGAAAGACGCAAAAATCATTACAAGCACTGACAGCGAGAGACTGTTTAGTACTACTGCATTGCATGTCTTCGATGAGAAGAGGAAGGGTGGTTGTTGCTGGTTACTGTTTGATGATTCAAATCGCAAAATGCCCTTAAACAATTAAATAAACTGCAGAATGTTATGTTTTTTAATACGCAGGAATTGCATGTGTTCAAACAACGCTGCACAAGCTCGCGGCGGTAGGGTTCAAAGTCCAAAGCGTGAGGGAAATCTGCGCTGAAACTGTTGCTCGGCAGCTGCTCAGTAACATTTTTATGAATTTTTACAAGGCATGTGACAATGCGATATGTGCAACAAACGTCAGAATAGGGCTGCACGATTATGACAAAAATCATTATTGTCGATTATTCCCTTTAAATTGTAATTGCGATTATTAATTGCAATTATTAATTACGATTATCACAATTTACATTGAATGATGTTATATCATTGTTTGAAGCAACCGCATGCCATATTTTTAGATTAAAATAAACAAGCTGAAAACCCTCAAACTGAAAAACCTTTATTGCTTTTTTAAGCCTCAAATGGCATCTATTCATTGGATTGGAAATAATACTAAGCAACGTTTTTATTCAGAAAATACACTCTAAAAACTGCTGGGTTAAAAACAACCCAATTTGGGTTATTTTGGCAACCCAGCGCTAGGTCAAAAAGGGACTAACCCAGCGCTGGGTTGTTTTGACCCAACAAGTTGGTTGCTTTTTTATGTTTTAAAATTACTACACTGCTAGGCTAAAATGAACCCAAATCGAGCTAGACATTAAACCTACAAATCTTGTTCATTCATCACTTTTACACACACAGAATGACTATCAAAAGATAAATATTTATTTAAAACAAGAGAAAACAGTCAAAAGTAACATGCATGCAAGAAGAAATGCAGAAAAGTATGGCATTAACAGATACAGAGTTTATTTGTTGAATATAACTTTTAAGATCACATTTGATTTTTTGGGTACATTTTATGTAATGTATAAAAATATTATACAAAAATACTATTAATTCATCCCAGTCACCACCTGTTCTTCATCAGTGGCCTAAAAAGAGAAAAACTTTTGAAAAAGAAAACATTTAATTAAAATCTATCCATCTTCAGATAGAGGTGCATCCACATCAAAAAGGATACCAGCATTCATCCAAGTCACCACCTGTTCTTCATCAGTGGCCTAGAAAGAGAAAATAATTTGAAAAAAGAAAAAATTTAATTAAAATCTATCCATTTTCAGATAGAGGTGTATCCACATCAGTAAGGATAGGTAAATAGTCTGTTTTATAATTTCAACCACTTTGTGTGGTTGTTCAATGTCTCTGTCTACCACAGCGCTCTAAAATGCTATAATGGTAGCACTAGTGTGAGGGCATGTAATATTGTTTAAATAAATATATTGCTTTCAGAAAGCTACTTCTTTACTGAAACATTAAAACAGACATGACATTGACATACCTCACAGATTTTCATGTACGTGGAGGGCTGCTCTTTAAAGAGTTAGTTCACCAAAAAATTAAAATGGTCATAATTTATTCTGCCCCGTGTTGTTCCAAACCCATACAAACTCTGCAAATTTTTGGAACACAAATAAATATATTTAATATTCTCTTCATTTTTGTCCTCTATTGCAAGTCTGGGAGACCAGTATTTTCTTCTGAACAGACATGTTCGCTATGATATAATTTAAGATTTATTCATATATACATATTGGCATGGATTACTTCTACAATAACTCTGTATTTTTGAAGCTTGAAAATACTGATTATCTAGACTTTCAATGGATTAACAAAAAATTATGAGAGAAAATTAAAAA